AGGAATGCCCATTTTATTTATTGTACTTGTTCTCCTTAACTTTTTAAAATGATTTGAGGCAGTTTAGAAATAAAACAAAGAACAGGACAAGGGAATTTAAAAACAGAATTGAACAGCGACAAGATACAGAAAAGTAAAGGTTTCTCATATATTACTTTCTAACGTGTTGCTTTTTGTTGTACATAAATACAGCTTTTAGTTTCCTGCATCTAAGGTAAGCTTACTGGGTGATATGGTTCTTACAGCTTTTTGTTTTGTTTTTTTTTTTAATAAAAGTAAGTATGGAGTATTTTGAAGAAACTAGTCCTTCTAACTGAATCTATTGATAAAATAAGTGAGGAATTTATCATATGGATCCTTTGTATAAAGGACATAGAATAAACATAATAATGTCTACAGTTATAGGCTCATAGAAGAGATGTCAAATAAACATTTCTTATACCAGATTAAAAAGTATATTAATAAGAAATTTAGAAAAAAACACTAAAGGAAAAATGTTACAAAGCACCCATAATTCCACTACCCTAAGGTAATTTCTTCCAAAAATACACCTACATATTTTAAATAGGTAGTCTTAGAATACATTTTAGATATTACACTGTAATTGCTTAACATTACATAACATATTTTTCTATGTTTCTGTATAGTTCAAACATTATCATTTAATGGATAAATAGTATTCAATTTTATAGATACTCTATCATTCCTGTACTTTGAAGACTTGTGCTATTTATACTTCTTAACTAATAATGTAGAGTGACATTTTATGTAGGGGGTTAGATTCGTCACATGTATGTCAAAAATCTTGTATGGTCAGAATCACCCATGAAAAGGTGGTGATTACTTACCTAGGAGGTATATTATCTCTCAGTGAGTCCACCATAGAAGTATTTCCTCCAGATCTGGATCAGATTAGTGGTTCTTGGGCTGAGAATCAGATGAAATATTGGCTCCCCTTTAAGGGCCAGGTTGAATAGGATTGTCTTTCTGAGCTTATATAGAATGTGCATAATTGATCCTAGTAAGTTATATGTGGTGATGTAATTTCACTTTGAACATCTTCAGACATTTTGTGGTGTATATGTGTAAGTGAGAGAGAAAGATCTTCATTGTAATAACGCCCTCTAAACTGGGCATACCTAAAGGGCAAGGACTGTTGGCCTCTGTATTCGTAGGGAAGCACCAAGGACAGCCCTCTGCCCCTACCTGGCAGTTGTTAATGCAATATTTGTTAAAGACATGCAGGAGTACCTGTGAATAATTAGTTACTAGTACCTAACATTATGCAAGGTGCTTTGGATTGGTGAATTAGGATAACTCCAGCCCACATGGTATGTTTTTTAAGAAATACATTTTCTAAGAAAGCTAACAATTGAAATTATGCCCAAACTTCTATTAGTTGATTATAAAAACCAAGTTCAGGCCTGATCCTTGCGTGGATTTTTTTCCCCCAAGACTAAATCATAAACTTTTAAAGGGAAGAATATATGGTTGAAGCAACTTAAATCCCTCTTTTTGAAGAAGAAAAAAAAAAGCTAGAAGCCTATGTTATTTCGTGTTTTTTAGCATATGCGTAGAGAACACGTTGTGCATATTTTCCGTTGCAAATTGATCCAACATTGATGCTGGATGACACATTGACTCAAGGAGTAAAATCTTTGTCCCGTAAAAGCAAATGATACAAACCCTCCCATGCGAGTGAACAGGGTGTGTGTGTGTGTGTGTGTGTGTGTGTCGATAATTATTTAATAAGCATTTGGTTATCCCCATAACCAAATAATTTGATTTGCAGATTGAGTTTCTCCATCCATTCAGCTTAAAACTGTGGCCTTCCAAAAATGAGTCTGTTGGCAAATTTATACTGGCCCATCTCTATTTTCATATGTACCATCTTCATGTTCTTTGGGGCCTTACTTTTCTCAAAGCGAACTTGAAGCTACTGACCTTGCACTTCCTCCCAAATATCCAAGATAAAAGTTCTGGAAGGATTTGTGGGCTGAATTTTACAAGGCTTGCGAGGTGTTTCCAAACCTTTGGAGCTTAGAGTAGAAAAGGCGGGGTCGTGCGCTACCTACGGAGAAATGGGAGGGAGAAAGCGCCGCGTAAGGCCTTCCGTTGACAGCGTGTACCTTCAATCACCGAAGTGGGAAGCGGAGGGCGCACTTGCCCTCCCCACGCGACCCTCAGGTGTTGACCCTTGGGTTTTCTTCGCGCCGCGAGCCAACTGCTTCCGGGTCGCGGCGGACGTCGTTTCCGTAGCAGCATGGCGGCCACGGAAGATGAGCGGCCGGCTGGGAGTGGAGAGGGAGAGCGGCTGGATTTCCTACGGGACCGGCACGTGCGGTTCTTCCAGCGCTGCCTCCAGGTCTTGCCGGAGCGCTACTCTTCGCTCGAGACCAGCAGGTAACTGGTGGCCACAGTCAGCGAGGCCGACACAGGGCCCGGCCCCCCGGAAAGGCGCTGCGGAGCCTGATGGCTAAGTGGGCGCCCGCTGAGGGCTGCGCCACCGCCCACCCGGCACTGCTTCCCCTCCCGGGCCGGGCTGCAGTCACCCTTGCTCCCGCGAGCTACGGCGAGAGGGCTGGGGCGAGCTGTAAGTCGAGGGCTTTTGGAATCTACAGGTTTCGCCCTTTTCACTTCTCAACCATTTTTACGTCTCAACTTTGAGCTTCTTTTTTACCCCTGCTCCGAACCTGTGAGTCACTTGGCCTCGCTTCCGAGTATAAACAGAAAAAGACAAAGGGTTTGTCATCGTATTTTACCTAAATAGCCTCTCCAGTGCTTCCCTTTCCTCCATAAAGTCATTAATTCTTAATTGAATGCCTGTATGGTGTTCAGTGTATAGGAGCGGTAGGGAGTCTCTAAGGTTTGCGTAGATAAGAACTTTCCAGGAATCGTAAATCTAATGATAGGATTGGCGAAAGAGGTGCAGTGTTGCTGGAAGCAGCCTGTTAAAGTTTATTTGCAATAGCATTGTGAGTTGGGGTGGTCTGAGGACTGTGATCTGGCAGAGGCTAAGAAACTGTGAGTTAGTCATTCAGAGTAAACGTCTGGGGATGAGAATAACGAAAGGAGGCAGCGATCTTTGCTTTGCACTGTTGTGTTTTGAAGTGAGACTCCAAAGCTTCATGGGACTGGCTTGGAAGAGAGAGCCAGTTGGTTTTGCTCTGATCTTTTCCGTATTTTCGTAACTGAGTCTGTGGTGTATTTTGAACACTTCAGTTTTGGAAGTTTTATAGATTACTTTCGCATACATGGTCAAGAAATATTTATTATGGTGGGTGCTGGAGCACAGCTGAACAAGACGTACGGGCAGTTTCAATAGGGCAGGTTCCTAACCCGGATTTCCTTAGAGAGACCTTCCCTAATCACCCTTTCCAAAGGAGACTACTTCCAGTCACCACCTGAAATTATATATTGATGATACCCTTCTTTCACACAGGATTGTAGACTCATGAAGGCAGGATTTTTGTCTTTCTTGTTTCCCTCTGTAATACCAGGGCTGCTCTGTCCAATTTGGTAGCCACATTTGGATATTTAAATTTGAATTAATTAAAATGAAATAAGATTAAAAATTCACTTCCTCTGTTTCCAGTAGTTACCACTTTTCAAGTGCTTGGTCACCACATTGGCCTGTGGCTTTTGTTTCTATCTCAACATTTACGTCATCTCAAAAAGTCCTACTGGACAGCATTGCACTAGAACCTTGACTAATATCTGGCATAAGAGAAGGCAATAAGGACATATTTGTTGAATAACTATTCCGAGCTGAGCCCTGAAGGATGAACAGATTTTTGCTAAAGAGTGAAGCATCATTTGTATTCCTTTCTCCATCTATGTATATTGATTGACTAGCAGAGCCCATACCTCGATCTAAATTAACATTTCCAAGACTCAGTCATTGATTGTAATGATATGGGATGTTTAGAAATACATTGATAAATCACATATTTGTTGAGGATTAATTTTATGTTAATTTAAAGCATTTGAATAAAGAAAAACATACATCCTATTTTGAGTGTTAAACAGTTGAACTTTGCTCGTAGCTATCGCAGGTCTGTGGTTGCATTTTCACAATGCTAGTGTGTTTGGTCTATATAAAATTCAGCAAGGACAAAATCATACAGACTAACGCATGTTGGCAGTAAACTGTAATCCTGCTCACAGCATAAATTGTCTGATTAAACAACTAACTTAACAATAGATTTAATAACTTAGTATGATCTTAGGATTTACACCAGGCATTGTATATTAGATAATAGATATGTAATATCACAGTGCACTAGTTAAGAGATATTAATTATATCCTTTTTATGCCTCATGTTTGTCACTTAAGTATGTTTTAGCATTTTGGTTATTTTTAATGGCTCAATTCATAACCACATTTAAGATAATATGCACATACTGGGTTTTGTGGTGATTTTTTTTAAGTTTTTCAATTTTTCTCTTTCCTGATTCACATTCTTTACTTTCCTTAGTTCAGCATTAAGTCCTTTTGTGGTGTATGTGATTCATAATTGACTTTAAGACGCTTGTGAGGAAGCTCCAACTTTTTAAGCAAAGGTGACTGGTCACGAAATTTTTACTAATAGAGTTTGAAGATAAAACAATGTATTAACTAAGTCATAATTCTTAGTATTATAATTCAATTCCGCAAGCATTTACTGAGGGGCTACCATGTATCTGGGTATGGGGATAGGTATAAAGCAATGATTCAGGTTTTCCTGTGTTCATTTGTTTTTACTGATAGATGTGAAACAGCTGACTCCTAGGAAGGCTAATATTGAACTAGACATTTAGACCCTTATTTTCTGACCCACCATTTTGACAAAATTATTCTGTTTCCCTGTTTCTTTTAGCCCGATCCATAGAATAATTTTAATTTTTCTAATAGCAGTGGCTTTATGAAAATTATAAGGTATACTGTTTGTTGATTCACTCGAGGTTTTTCTTTTATATTAACTTCTGAAAAGTGATGGTTACTAGTTAACTCAAGTGAATATAGACCTTGGATTGTGAGCTTTGTCAATTAACAGGTTTCTTTTCATGAGAGGTTTAGGGAGCTTTTTGGTTATGTGATATTGTTGTCATTTGTGTTTGGGCAGTGGGCATTAGAGTGGGCCTTTTTAAATTGGGGAGCAAAATATTGACCATTTTCTTTTATGTTATTTTTACAGACCCAACTCTTCTAGAGGAAGGGTTTAGATGATTTCCACCCTCCCCAAGACATTCACAATCTTTCTATTCTGGTTTCCTCCGTATCCCCTTTGTATCCTGTGTTGTAACCACTTAGCTGCCTACCAGCCAGCAACTTCTCTGTCCTTTTGTTCTCTCCATTATCTGAAGTATATCACAGTCTGGCAGTGTGTCTCAAAGTGTGTTGGTGAGGGAGGCTTTTAATCAGTGATAACAGAGTACTTATAAAAATACACATACCTGAGCCCCTCCCCAGATCTACTGCATTCGACTTTCTGTATGGGCCTGGGAGTCTAGGTTCATAATAAGCATCCCAGGTAGTTCTGATGCACACTAAAGTTTGAGACGGTTTGCCTAATAGGAGAAACAAAAGTACAAACAGATTATTTAATACAACAGTGCTTCCCAGCTCTAATGTGCATATGAATCACCTGGGGATCTTGTTAAAATGCAGGTTCTCATTACGTAGGTCTGGGTGGGGTCTGAGATGCTGCAGTTGTGACAGGCTCCCAGGTGAGGCTGATGCTGCTGATCCCCTGGCCCACTTTGATTTTGTTTGCACGGTGATTGTGATATTCACAGGGCATTCCGGAAGCACCTACGTAATCAACCTGAAGAGAGACTCGAGGAAGAGTCTGAGGCTTCCTGGAAGACGTAACCCTGGAGCTAAATATTAAAGAATGTGTTGAGTTTTTGTGTGGGTGGGTGGATTATAGGCAAAAGGACAATAAATAAAGACAATAAAGATAGATAAGTGAGTATTGAGCAGGGAAACACCAGTCAGTTCTCTGATGGTGGTTCAAAATGTAAGGCAGGTGTGGTAGGAATTTAGTATGGAGAGGTAGACATAGGCTTTCTTTGCCATGTCAAGAACCTGGGAATTTGATATGTAAGTGACGGGCAGTTGCCAAGCAGTGGATCTTTCTGGTTAGATATGCATTTTAGAGTGATCATTGGATTTGAGATTAGTTATTGTATCAAGTGGGACAAAACCAGAACCAGGGGCACCAATTAGGAAGCTGTTGTAATAGTCCAGGAGTCAAGTGCTGGGACAGCAAAATTAGGGATAGAAAGGAGGGGATGAAGAAAGAAGGAGGAGTCCCAGAATTCTAGGGTTGGAACTAGCAACTGGTCTAGAGAACAAGAGGCAAAAGGAGCAGATTTGGAAAGGAAGAGGATGTTATCTGTGGTAGCGCTTAGAAACATCGTTTAGTTTACCTGCAAATTGATCTATTGGTGAAGCAACTTGATTGTGGGGGTGGGGGGGGCGGGGCAGTGGTGGGGATGTTACTTGTTCATCCAAGTAAGATAAACTTTTTATATGTACTGTCCAGAGTAGGAGAAGGGGCAGGACGACATGGCTTAGTTCAGTTTTTCAGAGTTTAATTCTAGGGAAAAGAAGAAAGGAAGAAAACAGACAGATGCTCTCCAAAGAAGTAATAAAGTAAAAATCACTTCACTGGCCTGATTTTAGATGCATGCATTGGCAAGATTACCCCTCTAGATGCCTGAACCAAGGCAGGTTGCCTAGCAGTCTCTACCCCAAGCAGCAGTCAACTGGGCACCACAAAACCCTACATTATTTCTCCCAGAGGACCACAGCCCAGAATTCCTTTTTATTCCACGTGACTTATTTAATTCTCTCCCTCTCAGTGTTTTAGGACTACTTGAGAACTCTAGTGTGGTCAGAAAAGGAATACTTTCTTATTATCCTTAGAGGAAGTCTGGATGTTTGCTCCAAACTGACTTCTTGGTTCTGTCTGCCAGCCACTGCTGGGTGCTTAACTTGATAAACAGGCTTTTCACTATAGTGTTGTTAATCCTATAAACCTTAGTCTAAACTGCTATGAGTTGAAAATGCTGGACTTTGAGAAGCTTTTAATAGTTAAGTATGCAGGACTTTAAAATAGTTTACCATCGGATGACTGATTTCTGGTATTTGCATCCATACCGTGGAGCAAGTAAAACAAAAAAACAGATCATTCAGGTATCTCTTATATACAGATAACAGTATGACTTTAGAGGAGAGTTTCTAGACCTCAGCACTGTTGACATTTTGGGTCAGACACTTCTTTGTTGACTGGGGCTGTGTTGTGCATCATAGTACATTTAGCAGCATCCCTGGCTTTTACCAACTGGATGCCAAATAGCGCCCTTCCCTAGTGGTGAAAACCAAAATTGTCTTCAGAATGTCCGCTGGGGAACAGTATTGCCCTAGTGGAGAATCGCTGTGCTTCTAAAGCCTGGCTGCCCTTTAGAATCATCTGGGAAGCTCCCCATCCTCCACCCCGTCCCCACTTACCCAAACACCAGGTCCCAGACCCTGCCTTCCATCTAGAATTTATGATACCTTTGTCGTGGAGTAAGGCCTAGGCCTCTCCTGGTTTTGTTGGTGGTGTATTAAGTTGTTTGTTTTTAAGCTGATTCTAATTGCACCACATTTGAGAAACACCCCTTGGACTCAGAATTCCTTGAGTAGTTTTCATTGGTTATCTAGCATTGAAATCTCAAGTTACTTGAATTCTTTATTATCTTGAACTAGAAAATTAAAGAGATGGACGAGATAATTTCTGCTTTTAACTTAGGAAATAATACCTACTTATTTTTATAGCCCTTTGGATATGTTTTCTTAGAACATTTTTTAGTAACAGGAAGATGATTGTTTTATCAGCACCTCGTGTTGTTCCTCACTTTTATCTCTCTTCCTTTTGCTTTTCTCTGTAATAATGATTTAATAAACTAAAGTATTAGATGCTTAATTTTACCAGACTGTCGTCATTCACTTTATAGATTACAGCCAAACTGAACCCTATGATAGCTCTCCAGGAGGGCTAGATGTAGTATTGCAGGTCTTTTATTTGTTAGGTAATTCAATAAATTGAGTGCATATCATGCACAAGGCAGACCTTATCTCATGAAACATAATTAGCACCAAGAGCAGTGATTTTCACATGTCAGTACTGTTAGGTAGAAATGTTCCCCATGTCTAAAATGTTTTGTTTTGGAGAAGAGCAGTTGGGGGGGATGGTGGAAGTTGCCAACTAATGAAAAGGTCTGTATAGTGCAAGTTAGTCCTGTCCCTTCAAATCAGGGAAATACCAATAATAATAGCTTCCACTTATTTAGTGCTTGCTTTTGAGCAGGTAAGCACAATAACTGTGTGAAGTTTAATGATTTACAGATAAGGAAGCTGACTTAGAAAAGACTTAGAAAAGGTTTGGTAACCTAACCAGATTATATATGGCTAGAAATTGACCAGCCTAGGATTTGAGGCTAGCTCATTTTATTGCAGATCTGGGCTCTGAAGTACTGCTTCCCACATAAAGGTGTTCCACTGCCCTTAATTTATTCCTGATCTTATCCAGATAAATCACCTCCCTAATTCATGTGGATTTCAGTGAGTTAGAATTAAATTGAGATAATATATGAGAAATTTCCTAGCCCAGTGCCTAATACATAGTAATAATCTCTCGGTAATGTGAGTTTCGTAAAATGTATTGTTCTTTTTTTCTTAATTTTTTTCTTTTGTTGTTGTTGTTGTTGTTGTTGTTGTTGTTGTTGTACGTGGGCCTCACTGTTGTGGCCTCTCCCACTGTGGAGCACAGGCTCTGGACGCGCAGGCTCAGCGGTCATGGCTCACGGGCCCAGCCGCTCTGCGGCATGTGGGATCTTCCCGGACTGGGGCACGAACCCGTGTCCCCTGCATCGGCAGGCAGACTCGCAACCACTGTGCCACCAGGGAAGCCCTCTCCTCCTGTTATCTTATGGATGCCAGCCTTTTCAACCAGGGATCAGAGAGAGAATTATACCCTTTAAAAAAATGAGTGACTATTTTCTCATTTCTCCTAAAGTTGGTGATACCATTCTAGATGCAGAGGAGAGAAGTTAATTGTATACAATGGTTGCCTTAGGGCATTAAGGCTTAATTTTCTCTTGGAATCTCTGTTTAGAAGGTTATAGAATGCACCAAGTGGCTCTGCTAGAAGATTTTAGACCAGATAATTTGAAGTATTAGTTTATCAGTATTAGTCATAGGAATTATTAGAATATGGAAACGAGATAACCATGCTCAATCAAACAACTTTGTAGAATGCATCTCAACAGGAAAGGAATTATATGAAACAAACTGTTTAAGTAAAAAGCAACCACTAAGGGGACTAGTTTTTATACGAAAGCACAAAGCTTAGATTTCTGATTTAGTGCACAATCTTGGAGGGGAAGGATATTGCTTTATAGTTTTCCATTTCATCAGAAATGTTTGTCTCGGGCTTCCCTGGTGGCGCAGTGGTTGAGAGTCCGCCTGCCGATGCAGGGGACAAGGGTTCGTGCCCCGGTCCGGGAAGATCCCACATGCCGCGAAGCGGCTGGGCCCGTGAGCCATGGCTGCAGAGCCTGCTCCACAATGGGAGAGGCCACAACGGTGAGAGGCCCAGGTACAGCCAAAAAAAAAAAAAAAAGAATGAAGAAAAATGTTCGTCTCTAGGAAAATGGAAACTGAAATGCATTTGCATTTTTAAAAATCTTCCTTATTCCCCAAAATTCATTATAAGTTTTTTCCAAGGGGTCACATTATTCATAAACAAATTTGAATAATGATAGATTCATTCTAACATCCTTAAGAATTAAGCACCAGCTACAAGCATAATTGCTCTTGGCAAATCAGTGAAAATTGAGATTTTTATATATTTTCTACCTTTTTGACCTTATATATACTGATTAGGTGCAGGGAATTCTCTTTTTCAAATCTACTTTTAGCCTTCAGGTTGCTCATAAACTGGTTTCAGTGAATTCATGTATACTTCAGATGAGTAGGGTTGATTTCTTAACCCTTAAATGTCCCTTTATTAAAAATTAAAACAAAGGTTTGATTGATACTATTAACTTATAAGAATAAATTGGTTTTTTCGGCTTTTGCAAGTTGGGAATATTGTTTAAATTATCGTAAAGTTGGAATGAGTTTATTATTTTTCTGAACCAGAAAGACTTCATTGGTTTGATACTTAAGATGGAATTTTATATTTTTCTCTTTTAGGTTGACTATTGCATTTTTTGCTCTTTCTGGGCTGGATATGTTGGACTCCTTAGATGTGGTGAACAAGGATGATATAATCGAGTGGATTTACTCCCTGCAGGTCCTTCCCACAGAAGACAGTGAGTGAGTTTTTAGCATTTTGTTTTTAGTGTGACTAGTTGTACCTGGCATAACATGTGTTGCACTCGGAAATCTTAGTATTTGTTCCTAAACTGTTAACATATTTTATTCATCTGTGTTTTCCTTGTAACACTCCCTTTCTGCTCAAACACAGTGCTGACCAAGTCTAGTGAGTCATTAATCTCTGGAGAAAACAATTTAGCGATGTCTAAGGTTGGATGGAGTTTCACAGTTGTACACCATGCTGTGTTGCGTATTTCCACGCTCACGACTGCTTGTTGAGCAGTATTGTATTCCATATTTATGTTTGATTAGTTTTGTAGCATTCACTCTGTTTTTCATTCCCAACCATTCTTTCTGTCTCTTCAGTGAAAAACTCTTTGCTGTCAAAAAGTTTCATTCCAATCTCTTGGCCATTTTCCCTCTAAAGTTCCATTAGTATTTCTTCAATGGTTTCTTAGAGCTCTTATTTATACTTAGGTCATTTTTATGCTTCTTAAAACTTTATACATTTTGATCGATTAAATTCTCAAAATTCATAAATTATTGATCAACTAAATACAAGTTTTATAAACTCTGTTGTTCACTCCATTAAGTGTAAAATACCTAATATCTATTTAACTTATAAATGTTAGAAATTCTAACATTGAATTGAATTGGAGCAAGCAGATAAACTCAGAAAATCGTGCAATTTTGTCTGTGGTCACTACTTACCTTTCTTTTAAGAGTCAGCATTTATAAATTAACTGTGTGGTTCATTGGTTGGAGTAATCATGTATAAATCTCACCCAGGTGAACTTTGGGGAAATAATAAGCTAAAGCTTTATTTAGAAATAAAGTGCTTTGATCTATTAGCAGATGCTGTTGGACATGGTTTGTGGCTTTCTACTTTATTGTTCTTGAAGTTTGTAGTAATTTTTTTTTTTTTTTTTTTTTTTTGTGGTACGTGGGCCTCTCACTGTTGTGGCCTCTCCCGTTGCGGAGCACAGGCTCCGGACGCACAGGCTCAGCGGCCATGGCTCACGGGCCCAGCCGCTCCACGGCATGTGGGTTCTTCCCGGACTGGGGCATGAACCCGTGTCCCCTGCATCGGCAGGCAGACTCTCAACCACTGCGCCACCGGGGAAGCCCTGTAGTATTTTTTAATACATAATTTAAAAAATCTGTGCCTGTTGATGAATTCTTGATAAAAAATGATTATGGATTTTTAGATCTATCAGAATTTTATTACATAAATATCTAATCATTTTTCACCAGCTACATGAAGCAGCATATATGATATATTGGTGAGTAGTTATAGATTCTGACATGTTGGTGAGTAGGCTTTATTGGATGTTTTGCTAAGAGTACTATGCTAAATCTGTGGAGAGGGGCTGTGATAAATTATAAGATATGGTTCTCATTCCCTGAGAGCTTGTGGCTGAGGTGAGGTCACAGTTCTAGTCACCTACAAAATGGGAATAATTTGTGTTTTCCTTTTTTAATCAGGATTTTTTTTTCACTAGTTTAACTGAAAGTCTGGAATTTTTTAAAAAGTTAGATATTAGACAGATGTAAGGTAGTTTTGTTATAGATTATGTATAATTTTTGTTTACTAAAAATACATGTCCTAATCAAATTATACATTGTATTTTCTTAAATATATTTCACTGATACAGATATGAAATTATACACTGTGGTACATAGGAAAGCTATTGTATAAGTTTTTGTTAAAATATATATTATTTAAAAAAATTATTTATGATATTCATTTCCTTGGAATAAAATAGCTATTGTCTCTCTAGAAATGTAGGGACCATAGCATTTTACTGAGAGACTCATGCTATAGGTTACAATTACCAGAACACTAGTCACTTATTCACTATGCTTCCTACTTTCTGTCTTTTCTTATATTTTTATCTACCTTTAAGGACTGTTTGCCAGCTCCAGCTAATTATTAATATCCATGTTCTTTTTAAAGCCTTCTTTCTGTTCTCATTATTTGATCTTTTGTTGTGAGAGCTTTGCTGTTATCTGGACTTTCATATTATCCCTAATAATTGTGTTTGCTGCATACTCACTAGAACAGCCAAAATATCAAATGTTGATGAGAATGTTGCACAACTGTAACTACTATTTAGCAATATTTACTAAAACTGAACATATGTACATTCTATGAACCAGCATTTCTACTCCCTAGTAGGTATCCAACAGAAATGAAAAAATGTATTCACCAAAAGATATGTACTAGAATGTTGATAGCAGTATTTTTCACAGGAGTCCAGAGTAGGAATATACAAACTACCCATCATTGGTATAATAGATAAATGATATATTATAATTCACACAATGGAATAGTATACAGTAATGGGAAAAAACAATTTAGACCTACATGCAGAAATTTGGATGAGTGTCACAAACATGTTTTGAGATAAAGAAGTATATAGTGTATTATTCTATTAATACAAAGTGAAAATGTAGGTAAAACAAATCTGAGCTTTCGGGGAGTGACAAGAAGGAAGTAGGATGGGGCTTCTAGGTTGCTGGTCATGCACTTTTTCTTGAGCTGAGTGCTAGTTTTACAGGTGAGTTTACTTTGCAGAAGTTCATTACTTGATGAAAGTTAAAAAATTTTTTGAATTCGGGTGTACTCACCATCTCTTAAGATCCATCAGAATTCTCTTTCCCACTGTACTTTCAACTACATAGACTTCATTGGATTGAAGCCCATTGCTAATTTTTAAATTTTTTTAGTCATTGTTGCTTAACTGTTGCTTAAAATATTTTTGCTTACATCTGAATTGTAAACTTCTGGAGGGCAGTGAATGCGTCAGTCTTACATTTCTTTTCCCTTTTGGTGCCTAGAGCATTGTTATCAACAGTTGTTGGACTGCTAAATTACCTACACCTTTTCCTACTTTTCTTCTTTTCTGTATTTTCACGTTTAGCCTAGAGTGTCCTCTGGCTCCTCAAATATTTTCTCATTCATAAGGCATTTTCAGACTGCATAAACATTCTTTCTGTAACTCTTAGCTCTGTATTTGTCCTACTTTGTGATGTCACATAAAATCTTAGGGAATTTAAAAATCTTAAAAGTGTTAAACAAAACCCAGAGACCATAAAGGAAAAATTTGGTAGATTTGACTAAATAAATATTTTTAAATGTTATGTAGGGAA